GGCTGCATCCTCTCACACCTGGTTTGCTGTGACACTGGTAAGGCAGCACTTGAGTCCCTGGAGGGTTTGAATGGGGACAGTACTGTTCCAGGCATAACTCTGGTCCCCAAAATCTAAACCTGCCTACAAAAAGAGATAAAAGTAATGAGAAGCTGTGGATGGTAGGGTTGCTGAGATGCATTTGATCTCTCTTTTCCATGCTAGGGGATTTGGTTGCAGAATCTGGAGCAAAAACTCTGACCTGCCCTGTTCACCTCACTGTCTGCCAACTCAGATGCCCTGTGCTGATATTTTAAATGTAGACAAAGTTAACTGCCTATCAGAATAAGAAATCAAAATGGGCATGGAGGGGCTGAGTATTCAGCTGTGGCTATGATTGCATCTCAGCCCTGCACTTGAGCTGGGGGTCTGGCTGTTCCTTTGCCTCCCAATCCAGTTAGAAATGTGTTCAGCAGGACTGAGCCTGGCATCCGACCTGTGCTTCTGAACATCCCTTTTAGGCTCTGAGAGGGCAAGGGAAGATGAGCTTGCTGAGCCCTGTAAGGCTTCTGAGCCTGTGGATCCCAAGGAAAGGGTGCAGCTCCTAGGGAGTCAGGGGAAGGTTGCTCTGTTCTGAACAGTTCCAAGCAACTACTTCTTCCCTCACCTAGCTGGGTTTGGAAAAATGATGCCACGTTTTCCTTTTTTCTCTAGATTGTTCATTTATTTTATCAAATGGAATGTCTTAGATATGGCTGTATGGCTTATTGCTTTCAGAGATGTGTTTTTAATCTGTTTTCAGGAAGATGTGTGAGCCATTAAGGAGAGAACTAGGTGTGTTCTCTCACTGTATGCTCAAGGAGTTTGATTTCTGATGTCTATACAAAGAGGATTTTAATCCCCATCTGCAGCATTGCAAGACTGTGATTAGCATGGCTTGGCTTTCCTGGGGCACCTTTCTTCTAATAAATTACTCCCACAACTTTCATATAGAACAAGAACATATCATTGACCTTGCTTTGCAGACACCATCCAGCTTTTGACAGTTCAGAAATATTCACTGTTCAGCCAGGGATGTAAGTACAGCCAGAACTACACAGAAATCCACAAACAGTAGTGTGATCTCCACCAACAGGCTACTGCTGTTTCCTGTACAGGACTACAAACACTCCTCAGTGGGTGAGCCAAAGCTCCAAAGAAGGGACCTAAATTACTTCATTGCTGAAGTCATCCTGGGTAAAATCATGCAACTTGTTTTTTTTTAATGTTAAATTCATGGTCATGGTATTTGAGTGCCTGCAGACATCCCTTTGACACCTATTACTGAACATCTGGGCAACAGTATACCCCTGTCTGTCCCAAGCTGCTCTAGGATAGATTGGTTTTGGAATGCCATTCCTGAACTGTTAGAAGGGAAATTGGTGTCTGAGGGCCTAATCAATCTCTCACCCACTGCACACGATGCTTCTTGAAACTGGCCATTTAATCAGCTTTCATGCACTGATGTATGTTTTTTTCTCAATGCTTTGAAGGTGACTTCATTATTGAAGCAATGACACTGTTGCTGTGAGCTCAGAATGGTGTGAAAGCCTGGCTTTGGCAAGCAGGACAGCTTGACTTGTATCTTGGTAAAGCAGGATCCTCTTGACTCCTTCTGCCTTTGTCCAAGGTTTCAGGTAGGGTCCCTCTCTTGTCCTTCTCTTTATGGGTGTCAGGTATTATTTGTCTTTTCTAGTCTCAGGTCCTGCTGCTATCTGTGAAAAAGTTCAAGAGTCTATCTGGGAATCAACTATTATCAAACTGCATCATCCATCAGTAAAATCAATTTACACTTCCTCCCATCTCATTAACTTTATCCTTTACTTTCTCTGTCTGCTGAGGTTCAGGGATACAAAAGATCTGGGCCTTCCCTATTTCTGAAATGGCAGTTCCTTTTTGGTACCTGACATTTCTTTTGGGAAAGTGACATCAGAATTAGACAGAAAGACCCCTTTCTAAGTGCTAGGCTGTAAATGAGAAAAATGAGATCAAAAAAACAAAACTATAAACTACTGTCAGAGAAGCAAATCAATCCTCTGCTAGGTACACTCAACTGAATATACAGGAGCTTCATTCAGGGGTAAAGCTGGAAATACAGCAGACCTGGAAAAAGCATTCACAGGAAGAAAAGAACTAACACAAACTGAAATTCATTTGTGCTCTGGAATATCCTTTCTTTAGACAGACAATTATTGCTTTCATCAAAGCCCATTCATCCTATATTGTACTTCATTTCCTTCTTAATGGCTCATTCTGAGCTCATCTTTCCTTCAGTTCCCGTTGCTCCTTGCTGCTGGTCTTTTGTCCTGCCAGGGACATGCCTATCTGATCTGTTGGAAACAGGGCTGGCAGTAAATGCTGAGGGGAAAGACAACTTTGGTCTAAACTGTTTGTCTTCTTGTTCTACCCAAGAATGCAATGAGGAATCTGCTGGGTTTTTTCTGAAAGTTTCAGTTGAAGACTCTTACAAAATTTCCTATATTTAAATAAAAAGGAGGAAAAAGAAACAAATGTTATGAAGGTATATTATCTTCTAAACAGGGTTTTGGCCAAAGTTCAGCCCCTGGGAGAGGTAACCTAGCTGTATGATAGAGAAAGGTGATTATGATGTTGAAGATGCAAGTTAGAAAACAATGGTGCTTACAGGCAATATAGATCAAGGAATTTAAGAGCAACTGTAACTACTGGAATCTGATAGAATGTTCCTGGGGGCTGTACCAAGATTCACGGCATTTATTAACCTGAGATGTCAGGTCCTGCCTGTGTACAATCATTTTGGTCTTTGGGAAACTCTGGGCTTTCCTGAATCACCTTATGACCAACATGAGATTCATGTCAATGTCCCATGGCAAGTCCTGAAGAAAGAAGCAGGATGAGTCACACATGTCTGACAGCTCTTCACACCTCTGAAGCAGTCTCTGAATTCCAGAAGAGGAGACAGCCCCAATGTGTTCTCAAGGTCTTATCACAGAAACTAATTCAGCTTGCACAATGCCTACTAAATACTGAGAAAGGCAGGAGAATTCAGAGGAGTGGTGGCTGTGCAGCTGCATGTTACTTCTTGAAGCCTGCAACAAAAAGGCAGATGGAATGAGCTGGGGAAAGTTCTAGACCAGGTTTGCAGAACACACTTGGCCAATTAAACAATTTGTTTGTCCTGCCAGGTGCTCAGAAGACATTGTGGCAGGGTGTCCTCTCAGCCAGCACATCCACACATCTCAGCTGTGCAGCTGCCAAAAAAAGTGTGGTGTCCCAGTCAGTGGAGAGGCAGAGGAGAGAGGGAAGGTAGATGAGGAGACGAGGAGGATGGAAGAGCAGAGGGAGTGATAGAGGCAGGTCTGGTAAGGTATGACAGAAGGTGCAGTTTGAACTTGCTAAGCCTACTCACCTAACTGCTGCTATGAGGCATTCCAGGCCAAAATCCTATTGTACAAGGGAAATTGGGCTGAGTCACCAAATTCATTCCTCTGCTGTTTCATGCATCACACCATGCAATGCCTGACAAAGTCTGCTTTGTTTGGTTTTGTCTGTGGGGTTCCCATAGGGAGGCTACCAGGTCCTTCCTTTCTAATAGGTATAGTCATTTTCTGCTGCTTATTTATAGCTAGTTTGTCCCTGTACTGAAACCATCCCTTATCTCTCAAAGTTCTTTGCCCTGCCTGTTGATATATTGACACACAACAGTTATATCCACTCTGGCTTCACTTTGCAGGCTGTACAGTCTAAGCAATATCTCAGCCTTTCTAGAGGAGCTGAGTTGCATACACTGTATAATCACAGTCTTTCATATAACAGCTAAAAAATCCTGTGGACTTTCTGATATCTTTCATTCAGAGTATTTAGCCAGTGTCAATCCTTCCTGAGTCCTTTTGTAGCAAAGCATGTTCTTTGCAGCTCTCCTTGCTGGAAGGGTAGGAATCTCAAGCCCACAAATCAGTCAGACTTCCATATGCTTGGAGCTGGGCATGTGCGTAACTGTTTTTCTGGATCAAGATTAGAGTTCTCACCACTTGACAAGATTCAGCTTGTGGTTTGTGAAGTGCTGCCAGTTTGACTGGAATTAAAGATCTATAAAAAAATATCAATTTTAAAAAAGGCAATCCCCTGTTTCAGGTTTATGTGTGTACTGCATTAATTAATACCTGGTTGGGAAACATGAAGAACACGGCGCAACAGCATTGCTTGTATCACACTTCTCACCACGTGAGAGCCACTCCATATTCCCAAAGAACTGACAACTATCTCTGTGCAAAATCAAGAGGGGAAGGGACAGATAAAGGTGCAGAGATGGTATTTCCAGTGTCAGGAAGGGGCAGGACCCCTTGGTCTCTGAATGTAGGGAGTATTCACTTCACCACCGATGCTTTCATGCATCGTGATGCTTTTTCTGGGGATAAAAATGTTGTACAAACAATTATAGGGGAGCTTAAATGGAGTAGAAGCAATTTTTCTTGGCCTCTGTTTGCTGATTTCCAGCCTGCAGTGACTGACAGCAGATTTTATGGGTATGGATGAGCCAGAAACGTCAGGACAGGAATTCCTGGCTTAAGTCGACTGACCCCCGAGGAGTACTGAAGGACTGACGGGACTCTGAGATGACAAGTGCAAACCCAATGCTGCAGATTTTTCTCAGCAAAACAGAAGTGCGGTGAGGAAGCAATACCGCGTGCCCTTCCGCGGGGCTGAGCGGTGGGAGAGGAGGAGCAGCAGGGCTGAGCGGTCCCTGCGGTTCGGCAGAGGGACCGGAGGGCTGCGAGCCGGGGGCAGGAGGCAGTGCCCGGGCAGGGCTGGGGCGGGCGGGCAGCGCCAGCAGGTGCTGCGGGTCAGCCCTGCCGGGCCAGGGGACCCGGGCGGCGGCCCCGGGGGAGGAGCGGGGCGCGGGCCGGCCCCGGTGCGCGTGTCCCGGGCGCGGGGCCGGGCTAGAGGGAGGAGGGCAGGGCGAGGGCGGGGCGGTTAGCGCGGCTGGCCCGGCCCGCCGGGGAGGAAGGAAGGGAAGGGGAGCGGGCTGCGCTGTTGCCCTTTTAAGCGAGCGAGCGGGCGCCAGAGGCCGGTACAAAGGGAGCTCCGCCGTGCCCCGCCGGCTGGGGCTGCCCCGGCCCCGCCATCTTCCGCCCCGCAGGCGCGGCCGGGGCCAGGGTCGGGCCGGCTGAGTCGGAGGGAGGCGGCGGCAGCGCAGGCCCGGGCCCGGAGATGAGGCCAGGATGTCGGTGTCAGGGCTCAAGGCCGAGCTGAAGTTCCTCGAGTCCATCTTCGACAAGGACCACGAGCGCTTCCGCATCGTCTCCTGGAAGCTGGACGAGCTCCACTGCCAGTTTGTGCTCCTGCCGCCGCCGCCGGGCTCCAGCCCACAGCCGCCGCCGCCGCTCACCATCCACTGCAACATCACGGTGCGGGGGCCGCGCGGGGCGGGGAGGGCCGGGCACGGCCCGCCCTCGCCATTGTCCGCGGGGCGCGGGGAGGGGGCGCAGCCCCGCCGGGGTGACTCAGCACGGGGGGGCCGCTCCTCAGGGGCTCCGGGCGCCCTCCCTGCTGCCACCATAACAAAAGTTACAGGGGCGGGCGGCCCCGGCCTCTCCTCACGCGCGGCGGGGGCTCCTCCGGGGGACCCAGGCACGGGAGAAGGACGCGGGCCGGGGCCGCCGCCGCCGCTTTGGGGCCGGGAGCCGCGAGCCGGAACAAAGGGCGGCCGGGCCCGGGGCAGCGGGCACAGAGCCCCGGGGCGGCGGCAGGGGGAACAGAGGGGCCCCGCTGCCCGGCCCGGCCCTGCGGCGGCTCGCGGGTCGCCGGTAGCGCCGTGCGCGGAGCCCGGAGCAGGCGGCGGGCGGGCGCTTTACCGAGTGCGCCACACGGCCGCGGCCTGGGGCGGGCCCGGCCTCCCCCGCGGGGCAGCCCGAGGCGGCCGCAGCCACGGGAAACTTGTCGGTGTCGCCGTCGTGGCGGGGTAAGGCAGAGCCCCCGCTCTGCCGCCGAAGGGCCGCTTTATCATAACGGGGCGTTTAAACTTGTCGGGGCTGCGAGCAGCCGTGTCCGAGCTGAGGGTCTGCTGCCTGCCGAGGGCTTTGAAGGTTCTCCTGTCTGCGGGTTTTATTTCCCCTTAAATTCGTTTGGCTTAATATTTCTTACATGACTGGAAGAGAAGGTGAATAAAACGTTCACTGTTGTGTGACGTGGTAACAATCCTCTGGTTCTTTAAAAGTTTAAGGCCTAAACTTGCAGAAGGATCTGAATATGTTGGCATCTGTGACTCATGTACAGGAAAGTGCTGGAGGTTCATTTTTGTTGGGTTGGTTGCAGTTCTAGGTGAATTTAAATGCCTTATCAAGATTCAACTGAACAGTGACATATTGAAACACTTCGGGTGAAAATAGCACGTTTGTGTTTAAGGAAGACAAATTCTACTGCCTTTTTTTGTCTTTCTGTGAAAGTTTTAAACACCATGGTGGTCAAAACATTAATGTAAATGCAAATATTTTAGTACTAAAAGATGAAAATGTGTGTGCAAACCAGGCAAGTCTAATTATAATCATGACCAGATTCTTACTTGCCTTAAAGTAACCTTATTAAATTAAAGGTGAATTGTTAAGTAGATCTTTCAGTTTTCACAGTTAACTGTTATGAAAAGTTGCTTCTGTGGTCATGGGACAGGTCTGTGTTTTACTGGGTACTTGTAAGACATAAAATTCTGGGGGTTTATGGTAAAATAAACAAGAAGTGTTGGTGTTCTTGTTTCCAGACATGACCCATCTGATGATGAATTGTGCGACTTCCTATAAATATTTTTTATTCAGTAGAGGGTGTTCCATTGCACAGAAATTTGGCTTTTTGTTTCCACACAACATGATCTATTTCATGAGTCTCACTCTAAACAAAAAATGAAAGGTCTGATGATTGTGCACCCTTGGTTGCCAGTTGAATTTGATGAATTATTTCTTCTTTGTCAAGTCACAGCTACCAGGTAAGCCAGCAGTAAGACCTGAACTTGTTGTGCTCAGGGTTTGTGCTGTGGTGTTTATCTACTTCTGGGACTGCTTTCGTTGCAATTACTTCTAATAGTAATTCTTACTGCAAAGAAATAACCCACCTTAGCTGTAGGCCTTTGGTTGAGGTGAGCAGGCAAGAAACCACTTAGATCACTGTTGTCATGTTTGTGTTAATGAGGAAACAGTGTCTGCAGTCTGCTGTTAGAGTCACCTGTCCCAAAGGTCAGCAGCTCTCTCACATGCCATTAGACTTGTGGCATATGAACTTGAAAAAGAACAGGAGAAGTGCTCTTTGAAACCTCTGAGCTGAGACTTCTGCTTTGATGAAAGGCTGTGTCTGAGCTTCTTGAAAGTTCTGTTTACAGTTGTCTGTGAGCAGCTTGGTGCTTTCTGATGTTGACTAATTTCTTGCTCTTCGAGGCAGGTGGCTACTTTCCCCATCTGTTAAAAATAAATGGGGTTTGACAACCTGAGATACAGACGTGGCTCCCTTGAAACAAATGGGCAGCAGGTGATAGAGCTGAGAAGAGAAAGCTCATCTCTGGGCTTCCATCCTAGTTCTTTGACATATATTTTAGAATTCTCTAGTGTCACAAAAGTGAATTTTTTTTCTCCCCCTTCCCACTGAATGGAGTCCCTTGGCCCTGACTCCTGATTGCCTCCAGATGTTTTTGTGGATACTGTAAACTAGAAGAACCTAAGTCTTTTTTTACTGTGCTTCAATGGCTCTGCAGGTACTGAGGGAACTGGGACTTCAAATAGCAGTAGTAGCATGCAAAGACTGGTAAGGCTATAAAGTTATGGGATGGAGAAATATCTGGTAGGGAAGGAAGCTTTCAGTAGCTAAAAAGTGATCTGATAACTAAGCTGGCTCTGAAATTCCCAACAAATCTTTTTTTCTCTCCAGCCTAGAGGGAAGAGTAAATATTCCTCTGGAGATGTGAGGGAGCATATATGCTTAGGAACTGTGTAGGTCTTCATAAGTTTTCTAGACTAAAATTCAGAGTTTGAGGAGTCTGCCACTGGCATTTCTCACTGAGATGATTTGTTGATTGTCTCTGTAGTATAAGTCTGTAGTACTGTCAAAGTTCAGTATTGGCTATAGCATCTCAGGGACACTGTACCTGTGACTCTGAACACTGCTAGAAATTAAAACAAGATACGTTTTACTTGATAGCTCCTCTGTTTATAGAGTGGCAGCCAAACTTTGTCCAAGTCTGTCCTTCACTATTTCTGGTAGTGACCTGTATTAGAGCTTACATGGTTAATCAGATTATTTTAAAAGAGGCACTTAAGGGTGGAGTCATCCCTGTCAGAAATATTGCTGCTTATTCCTGAGAACTGTCCAATTATTGAACTTGTTCAGGCTGTGTACTTTCACATTCCCATTTTGTTATGCCAACAGCAGTGTCTCCATTTGAGGTTTTATTTCTGTTTTCCTCAGGTTTCCATTTTAGTTAACAGCTCTATTCCAGTTGATCAAGTTCAATAAACCTTGTCCTGTTCCTCATGTGTTTTGAAATAGTATCAAGCCTGTGGCCTTACTTAGAGGAGGGTGTTTATTGATCATGACTTTAGGGAAGTGTCCTTCAATACAATCTCTGGCTTCAGTTTGGTACCTTATCAGACTTAGGTCATGGAATTACAAAGGGTGTGTTAGAATTATTCCACACTGAAGTTTGGATTGCTGTAAAACATTTTGTATTTTTTGTCATCTCTTCAAAGAGAAACAGGATATTAATACCTCTCCACCCATATGCAAAATTCCTGTTGAAATTGTGTATCCTCAAGTGACCCTTGCAGGTAGAATGGGGGTTTGTGCCAATTCCATGTGGGAGCAGGTTTGCCCTAAACAGGTCCAGGGCTGTGATGTGCAGTGATATCCTTCATACTTCAGCAATTCAGTTCAGGTGATGTGGCTGACTCAGTAAACTCCTGCTTCTCTGTTGGAAAGAAGCATCTTCTGCTTCTGCTGAAAAATACCCTGCTGCTAAATCAGAGTTAGAAGCTGCTATGAAAGACTTGAAAAGGTTGCTGCCTACAGACAACTGCAGTTAATGGGAAGACTATTTTCCCTTAAAACCAGAATGGATGAAAAGATATTACCTGTGAAGCTTTTGACAAGTTGGGTGTATAACAGAGAGTGAGTATATTGGAACCTGGGACAGTTCTTCAGAGACATAGGATTTTCATATTGAAGTCCCTCCTAGCTAGCTCCTATACAGCTGGTAACCTTTCTAACAGGTTATCTATTTGTACACAGAACTAACCACATAATGAAGGAGGCATTCTGTTCCAACCATGGATTTTTATTTTTTATTTTTGTACATCATTAGGCATTCTGGAGTGAGGTTGAGACCTTTGTCTCGCAGCATGTGGATGTCAGGACTGTATAAAAGCATACCCAGCTTTATCTTGATAACATGTACTTTTTAGCTAGGGTTAGATATACTTGCTGATTTTTAAAAAGGCACTCATGCAACTATTATCAAACATAACATGCAATAGAATTGACTTTTTTTTTTTTTTAGCAGACCAAAATTAAGCTAAAAAAATTATTAAAAGAGTATTGAGGGCTTTAGTTTCTCCTTTTATGTCAAAACTGTAATTGGAAAAAGAATATTGAAAAAAGGAGTAGGAGGAATCTTTTGTGTCTGGAAGACAAGACCTTTCTGATGCCACAGTCTGGTTGTGTGATGTGCAAAAGGCTGTAACCAGTACTTCAGGACGTAAAGGATGGTTCTTCCCTACAAGGTATGAAGTGCTCCTAAAATATCCTAGGAAGCCACAGTGGTGGGCTTCAAGAAGAAATGCTGGCATATCCTGAGGTCTTAATGCACAGTAAATTGTGCTCTTTTCTGGTGGGTTGCTCAGAAGTTGATGACAGTAACCTCAGAACTGGGATTGTTGTGGTCCTTGAAAGAGCTCTCTGTGCATTTTGATAATGAAAGAAGTTTTGTAGAAAGAATTACATTCTTTTCACTCAACATCCTTCCTCCTGTGAGCTGTTCAGGAGGTTTTGTCTATTGGTGCCTTATTGATATCCTCAACATGTACTGAAAGTTGGAATTTTTAGTAAGAACAAAGTGTGATGGTAATAGTGCTGTTTCTTGCAGACCAACAGAGGCTATGTGCCTTGTGGCTGAAATTGAGTTTGCTGCATTAAGGACCTGGCTGGCATGTAAAATTCTTATGTTGATCTGAACTGTTTCCCAGTCTGGTTTAGCTGCACAAACATCTGTCCTGTCACAGGAGGGGCACAGCACTGAGTGGGAGCTGCTGCATCCAGCAGTGCTGGCAGAGCCCAGGGTGGCACTTGGGACTGGCCTCTCCTGGGTGCAGTGCCTGGGGTGGCACCAGTGCCTGGGGTGGCACCAGTGCCTGTGCTCTTACAGTGGCAGCTGGAC